GGCTGCCCAAGCCAGGATAACATGAGATGACAGATGGAACAGTTGCAGCCAGTTCCTACTTTGTACATTGTTCCAACTAGTGGTTTGTGTAGCCATTGTGGGACTGTTCTAAATTTATATCATCTTAACTGACTGGTGTAGACATGCCCCTAGTCTACTTTACTTGTTTCCTTTCCTTTCCAACTGCTCTGGACTGTGAGAGCCAAGCTTCAGTCTCCCCGTGACCACAACAGCACTTTCTGAGCCTCTCCTGAGGATGCCCAGTTGTTTCTTGCCTTCAGGGATAACACCCACACCGCACCACAATATTTTTTGACCCAAGGGAAGAATCTTTATAGTTTCTACCCTAACCAAATATTTCTGTGCAATCTTTGGATTGTTCCTGAAAGGAGCCTTCTACCTGGAAGCATTTGAATTTATTTCTGGAAAGAAAAAGGATGGTAGAAGTATCAGATGGCCATAGGCAGTCATTTCAGCTGGTTCCTTCTGGTTATGAACTATTGATGGTGGGAGCCCCCGCCCAGTAATTGCTCTGCACCGCGGCAGAGAGTTCCGCAGTTCCTAGTTGTCACAATTGGAGAAAACGGATGAAATGTGCCCCAGTCAACAGCTCAAACTAAGGACTGCTTCCAGCTTCTCTTTACTTTTCCCCAAGCCCTGACATTGTAACTAAACCCTAATAAAGTACTTGAGTTTTGCAACTTTACAACTTTTCCGCTTGATACTTTGTGTCCTTCCTTGCCTGAAGCCTCTTTAAACATGAAACTAACCTTTTTCTAGGCTCCGGAGACCCGTGAGCCCACCGGGGATGCCTTCCCGGCACCCTCGGGCCGCCGAATCTGCGTTAGTCCAAACCGCGGATACGAAGGTTTTCCTAATGGGCCCCCTTATCCGCCAAAACAACAGCATGGCGGATCGGCCCCGTTCAGATTTTGTATTTTTCTACGGCTAATTCTAAGACTAACTGCCATCTCGGTTTTCTTATTTTGGGCTCACACACCCGAGGAATAATTGTTTTGTTTTAAGTATTAAATTCGAACAGGGAAACAGCTGATTGTCAAAATCCAGCCGGCTTCGCCGGGCCGCTCCGTTCCGCTTGCTGCCGCTCGCTCCTGCAAGGCCCCCATCGTTGGGGACCCACCATGGCTGCCCAAAGGGGAAGCCTTGGAGAAGGAGGATCGGGCAGGGAGGCCCGATCCTCGACTGGGAGCTCCAGTTTCCCCAAGGACAGAGCCAAGGGACCCTGCTCCACCTTCAGCTCCAGCTTCTGCTCAAAGAAGCAGATCCTTTGTTGGCCAGCCTGAACCACGGGCTGACCTCTCACTTCCACGCTTCTCCCCCAGGAATTTGGGATTTCTAGTTTCTTTTTTATAAAATAAATCAAATATTTTTTCTCCTGTAATGAATTGGGTGCGGGATGGGTTGTGGGTTGTATATAAGATATTATGAAATACCTCTGTATCAGTGATGCCTATTACCTATGATTTTGATATGTATGTAACCCTTATGAATTCCTCTGTACCCTCGCCCCCCTTGACCCTTGTCCCACAAAATACTGTGACCAGGAACTGCCTAAGGGAGAATTCTGTATCTCCCAAGACTCACCCTTGATTGATTCACTCTGCATGGAAACCATAGCCATAATGGACCCTGCCCATTTTTCTGAGCATGTCTGAATGGGATCAGAGGACTTATGGATACCTGGAATAAAAGGACTGTATTTGCATAAGGCATTGTTGACCCCCCGGGAGGTCCGATGCCGAACTAGCCTTTCATATTGCTCCAAAAACCCATCAAGGACAGGAAAGACTCTTTGTTTCCTAAAATCACACCCTGCCAGCAAGGACAAAAGCCTCGCATTTCAGCTGGCGGATGCCCCAAAGCCTATCATCTCCTCAGCCATTGTTGAGGCTCGTCCCGCCTCCTCGCCTCTGATTGGTCCATCTTCTGAGGCACTAGGAAGGCACTGATTGGCTTCCCAGAAATGGCGGAGCCCGCTGATTGGTCAAGAGGCAAGGCGGGCCGCCAAGCCTCCTCCCAGCTGTTCCGCCGCCAGCCAATCAGCACGAAGCCGGCCGGCAGGGGCGGGCGGGAATTTCGAAACTGTTTTTCTTTGTCTGTGTACTATAAAAATGCTTGGAAATTCTGTAGAGGCATGGTTGCAGTGGAATGATTCCTGTAATGCATCCTTTTCAGCTGAATCGCAAATAAACGCCTCGGTCGCTGGACTCCTTCCGCTTTGCTGAGGTCTTATTATTTTAAATATTTCTCGCGGCTCTGATTGGCTTTCTCTGGCCTCACCAAGGTTTATTAAGGACTCTCTTTGATGCGGTCCTCGGGGATCCCCTCGGCAGGGGATCCCCTCCTAAAAGGAGCTCGATATCACTATCAGCAAGTGCCACATGTGGACAATTCCTAGCCTTTAGCCCTCTGGGTTGCAAGAGATTGGGTTAGTAAGTGAGGATTCTGGAGCACATTCACTGTTCAGAGGAAACACTGATAAGATCTACGAAGGATCACTGTTGTCCCACTCATGAAATGGGAATATGCCTTCACTCACAATCTATGCTTCCCTATAGTTATACATCAGGCAATGAAACTAATTGTAGAAATAATGGAGAGAAATAAAAGTGAGCAGAAGTCATGAAGATGTTTTTATTATTGTTGTTGTTATTCTTAAATTATAAGGAAAGAGTACTTTCACTGACTATATTATTATAGAAAGAGCCATAGGACGTGAATGAGATCATTATTGCAATACATGGTGGTGATTGTGGACAGAGGGACATGCATAAATTAAATACATTCATTTGCTTTCCAAACCAACAAAACAGGTCAGCCAGAAGATTAGGAAAAACAGCATATCTATGTGAAAGGCTTCCATTTACATCAAAATATTCTCACCTAATTTTGTGTTAATTTTTTGCTATCTAGGAATGTTTCTGATGAATATGCATAGTGAGGTTCATCTATATGATGTGAAGCTGGATTTACAAGTATCTGTACATGGTGCCTCATTACAATTCTGGGTTCCAAGAACATTAAAAGAGCACTTGTGGAATAGCAATTCATCTGGGGGAATCTACATAGACATATCCTTTATTTGTCAGTAGCAGTTCAATCTTGTTTTATTTATTTATTTATTTCGCACATTTCTACCCCACCCTTCTCAACCCCCAAGGGGTGACTCAGGGTGGCTTACAAAAGGCACAATTCGATGCCAACACAAACAATCAGATAAAAGATAAAAAACATATATAAACAGTGATTATAAACAGTTAAAGCAATCAGTTAAACATCACAGTCAGTAAAACCAATAAACCAATCTTATGCTCAACGTTTGCCAGCTCAAAGTCTGTAAATTCATTCCACATTGTCAAATCCTATTAATTCTAGTCATCGTCCTTTGTCTATCTGCCAGATTAACCAAAAGCCTGGTCCCATATCCATGTTTTTAGTTTCCTTCTAAAGGAGAGGAGGGATGTCGATGACCTAATTCCCCAGGGAGTGAATTCCACAGGTGAGGGGCCATGACCAAGAAGGCCCTGCTCCTCGTCCCCACCAATCTCACTTGTGATAGAGGTGGGGCTGAGAGCAGGGCCTCCCCAGAAGATCTTAGACTCCGAGGCAGGACGTAGAGGGAGATGCGTTAGGACAGATACGCTGGGCCGGAACCGTATAGGGTTTTGTAGGTCAAAACCAGCACTTTGAATTGTGCTCGGAACTGGATTGGCAGCCAGTGGAGCTGACATAACAGAAGGGTGGTATGCTTCCTGTATGACGCTCCGGTAAGTAATCTGGCTACCAGGATTACTCCGGTGAGTAATCCTGGTAGTCAGTAATGGGTCACCTGGATTGACAAGAATCTGCACAAGGTGCTTCATTAGGATTCTGGGTGCCAAGAACATTAAAAGATAATTTTTGGTATAGTAATTCATCTAGGAAAATCTACATAAATATATCCTTTATTTGTCAATAGGACTTCAAACTTATTTTGTACTAGCCATCCCCTGCCAAGCGTTGCTATAGCCCAGTCTCTTGATCTGGAAAATAAAGTAATGAGAAAGTTTTGGTTTCTAATATATGTGATTTATTTATGCTTGTGGCTAAACAGGATTTCTTGCTATTTCTTTGTCAGTGTTGATGTGGAGATTGTTTGGTTTGCTTACTCTGGAACATGCAACATATCATTGTCCTTCTTTAGGGTCCCTTTCAAATCTATGTTACTATATCTGTGTGTGTGAATCATATCTATCTATCTATATCTATGGCTGGATGGCTCTTTGTCAAGAGGGTTTTGATTACGTTTTCTTGCCCCGGTGAAGGGAGTTGGACTGAATGGCCTTAAGTATTTTCTGTTAGTTATGGGGGTTCTGTGTGGGAAGTTTATTTTATTTATTTATTTATTTATTTATTTATTTAATAATAAATAAGTTTGCCCCAATTCTGTCATTGGTGGGGTTCAGAATGCTCTTTGATTGTAGGTGAACTATAAATCCCAGTAACTACAACTCCCAAATGTCAAGGTCTATTCCCCCCAAACTCCATCTGTGTTCATATTTGGGCATATGGAATATTTGTGCCAAGTTTGGTCCAGATCCATCATTGTTTGAGTCCACATTGCTCTCTGGATGTAGGGGAACTACAACTCCCAAACTCAAGGTCAATTCCCACCAAACCTTTCTAGTGTTTTCTGTTGGTCACGGGAGTTCCGTGTGCTAAGTTTGGCCTAATTCCATCATTGGTTGAGTTCAGAATGGTCTTTGATTGTAGGTGAACTATAAATCCCAGCAACTACAACTCGCAAATGACAACATCAATTTTTTGAGTGATGGTCACTCCTTGGGTTAGTAGATGTCTTGTGGCCAAATTTGGTGTCAGTTTGTCCAGTGGTTTTTGAGTTATGTTAATCCCACAAACGAACAGTACATTTTTATTTATATAGATTGTGAGCATTCTTTAATATAAGAAAAAAAACTTGCTTATCAGGAATTCCAACTCTAATTTTCCTATTTTTTCCTTTTTCTCTTCTTGGGCTGCCAACATTTGTTCCAAAGCAACACTTACACAACTTTTTTTTTTAATCTTGGACTTTTCTTTTATCACTTCGTTGCTTTCGCCCGAACGTTGGCCGCATCGACCTCAACGCTTTGCAAAAAGCTTCTCAACATGAAGAAGGTGCACACAAAGGAACTGGCCCCACCGACTATAGACCCCAACACAGGTACAAAATCACAAGCCAGTTCTATCAATGTCAGGGTTGCACAAAGCCAGGACTTTGACAATAAACTAAGGATCAGGTCCTTGGTGATAGCATGTGGCAAGGGAGTGTTTTTGATAGCAGACCTCAGCTCCTCCACAGGCTTGCCAACCCGTTTTGCCAGGATACGAAGAGAATCATCATCTAAACCAAAGACCTTACAGAAATGCGCCAGTGCTCCCATTAATATGGCAATATCACAAACCAGAGAGAGGCCCGGGACAGGGACAGCTCCCACAAAACAAGACACAAGTGCTAACATCCATATGAGAGCTTCCAGCGCCTTTCTTTTCTTTTGAACCATTTCTCTTGAAAAAGTTGGCGTGGCCATGAGGAAGGCATGCCTCTTGAGATCGTCCAGATCCTCCTCTAAGGTGTCATGCAGGGAGGGGAAATCATACAGTGACAGATCCCACCGTGACATCAGGAAAACCCTCGAGGAAGATCCTTCAGCCTTTTTCAAATTTTCACTGCAGTCATTCCTTATCCTCTCTAGAGTTTTGTGTTCATTGAAATTCTGCTTCCTTTTTTCTGAATCAAGATTGACATCTATCTTTGTGCGCACATAATAGAATTGCTTCTTCATCTTCTGAATTTCACGGGCTAAAGTGATATCATTTGTAGTGAAACGCCCTGAAGAAACAATGATGAAAAAATCATACTTGCTAAAATTCACCTTCCTTAGATATTCCTTGGCTTTAAATTCAGGTGTTCCAATCCCTGGCAGATCCCACAGTGTTACTTTGGGGAATGTGGGATGTGGATACGCCTTCGTCTCCATGGTTGTTTGTATTACCCCGGTCTCAGCTGACCCTTCATCATGATCACTCATGCCTCTCAGCGCATTGACAAGGGATGATTTACCAGCACCTGAACATCCAGTGATGGCTATGTCAAGTGTTGCATTACTTAGCGAATCCAGTTGCTGCTTGGTTTTATCTATGATGTCTGAGAGATCTTCTTTTTCCAAAGCAAGCCTCAGATTTTCAAGGTCAAATTTTAAGATTGTTCTGGAGATGGCACTTCTCAGGAAAGATCCTTTGGGAGGTTCATTTGACCTAAGGAGGAAAAGAAACGTTGTGATTGCTCACTTGCCTGTCCAATTTCCAAGTGATCTTTTCTTTTATCAATTTGGGTTAAGAACCCTAGGTGAGAAGCTGCATGGAATCAATTGTTATTTATGATGGCAGCAGTGGGGCCCTTTAAACAGGTGTTTTGTTTTGTTTATATCCTGCTTTCTGGCAAATGGAATGCAAGCCAGCTAATGAGATAAATCAAAATGCTTGAAATACATATTGTGTATTAAAACCACACTAAGGGCCGTTCTGCATGGATAATCCACAACATCTGCTTTGAACTGGATTATCTACACTGTCATATAATCCAGTTCAATGTGGATTTAATACAGCTGTGTGGAAGGGCCTATGTCACATCTTCCCATGCTGAGCTTGAGAGGGTGGTGGGATGAAGAGATCACTTTGCCCTACAGATCATAAGATGTGGACAGGCTCATAAGGGTGATATATATTCATATAGTTAGCCATTTAGGGCTCAATAGATCAGAACTAGCACTTTGAAAAGTGCCCAGAAATTGAAAGGGCATCTTATAGATTTTTTTAATGTCAGGAGCGCCCTGAGAAACTGCAAGTTGTTTCTGGTGTGCGAGAATTGGCTGTCTGCAAAGATGTTGCCCAGGGGATGCCCAGATGTTTGATGTTTTACCATCCTGTGGGAGGCTTTTCTCATATTCCTGCATGGGGAGCTGGAGCTGACAGAGGGAGCTCAACCAACTCTCCTTGGATTTGAACTGCCAACCTGTTAGTCAGCAGTCCTGCTGGCACAAGGGTTTAACCGATTGCACCACGGGGGGCTCCTATCTTATATAGCTGTTTCAATGAGAAGTTTATATGCTGCCTATAGCTAATTGTTGACAGTCAGCCATAGTATCATCCCTTGGTTCCTTACTATATGATACATGTGCTGTACTTTGCCTCCTAACATAAACACACATGGAAATCACAATGGGAGAAAGAAATATTATATTATATAAAACAGTAATAATGTTTAACCACCCGCATCATCGTATTGTTTTCATAACAATATGTAGATCTATACTTGAACAGGGTTTTGACCTTATCAAAATCCGACCTACCTGTCAAGTCGCTTCCTTTTTAGCTCAAGGGACCACCTTGAGAACTTTTCCTTGAAATCATCCCATTCATCCTTCAGAGCCTTTTCAAGATACGGGAAATCATACTTTTTCGGGTGCCATCTTGATATGACAAAAACCCTAGGAGAAGACTCGCCTGCCTTGGTTAAGTTTTCACAGAAATAATTCCTGATCTTCTCAAGGATTCCCTTTTCACTGAAATTGGGTTTTTTCCCCTCTGATTCCAAGCTGACATCCACTTTGGTGCGTACATAAACAAACTTCCTCTTTATTTTCTGGATTTCACAGACCAGCCTGAGGTCATTTTCAGTGAAACGATTTTCAGAAACAATGATGAAGAAATCGTACTTGTTTAAATCTATATTCTTTGCATATTCCTCACTTTTAAATTCATCTGTTCCAATCCCTGGAAGATCCCAGAGTGTTATGTCTGGATATATAGGATGAACATATGCCATTGGTTCATTTGGGACCTGTATCACATCTGTCATAGCAGCACCGCCTTCATCATCTCTCTCCATCCTCCGTAGAGCATTCACAAGCGATGATTTCCCAGCTCCAGTTTGCCCGGTGATGGCAATGTTAAATGTGAGGCTCTCAAGATTTTCATTGACAGCTTCAAGTTCCCTTATTGATGGTGGATGTGAGTTTCTTCCACCCATGATGATTTTGTGGCTGTAAAAAAGACATGAAGATTGTCAATGTTGAGACATTTGCTTTGGCCGGATCCAGACAAGCCTTTATTTCGGAAACATCCGTGTTAAAAAAAATGTGGATGTTTCCAGAGGCCTTTCCACACCCACCCCAGAAAGTGCGCACTTTCTGGGGTGGGTGTGTTTAGACTAGCCGAAGAGAACATCTGAAGCACCTAATTCCCCCCCCCCCCCCAACAAGGCCCCAGATCCCTTAGAAAAGTAATCGAAACTTACGTCGTGTCCATTAGAGATCCTGACGAGCTCTCCCGGTGCATAGAAATGGCATGCCAGGACAGCGGGGAGGGAAGCGATTCCCCCCCCCCCCCCCATCTCCTGGCGTGTCATTTCTATGCACTTGGAGAACTTGCCGGGACTTCTAATGGATATCACATAAGTATTCTATTACTTTTCTAAGGGATCTAGGGCTTGCGGGGAGGGGTGGGCATTCCCACTGTTTACCAGGCTTATTTTGCCTGGTAAACTGTGGGAATACTGTCTGGACTGCAGTACTCTGCAGTCCAGACCCGGAAGTAGTGCATTCGATGGCCTGGCAGTTTTTAGGAGTGGCTTAGTGCCTGGGGGAATCTTTTGTTGAGCTGTGATTAGCTGTCCCTGATTGTTTCCTCTCTGGAGTACACAGAGAAACCATTGAAATCCATAAGCATGTGGACAATTTCAACAGAAAGGAGGAAACCAGGAAAATGAACAAAATCTGGCTACCAGTATTTAAAAACTCTAAAATTATAACAGTAAAACAACACTCAAACACAGGGGAACTCCAGAGAGGAAACAATCAGGGACAGCTAATCACCTCTCAACAAAAGATTCCCCCAGGCACTAATAAGCCACACCAAAAAATTGCCAGGCCATCAAATGCTAATCAAGGTGGCCAATTGAAACATTCACACCTAGCTCCAACAGACAAGAGTTCTTTCTCCCACCCTGGACTTTCCACAGATATATAAACCCAATTTTCCTAGTTTCCAACAGACCTCACAACCTCTGAGGATGCCTGCCATAGATGCAGGGGAAACTTCAGGAGAGAATGCTTCTAGAACATGGCCATACAGCTCGAAAAACCTACAACAATCCAGTGATTTCGGTCATGAAAGCCTTTGACAATACATTGACCAGGCGTACCTCTGTCTTGCCTGGATTCAGTTTCATTTTGTTCGGCCTCATCCAAACCTTCACTGCTGTCAAGGGAGAGGAGGCCTATTCTCCCAAGAAATTCAGGAAACATGAGTAATGGAATGTTCTTTTCTTAGAATGAAGAATAACATTCTTAAGAGGAAGTGTTGATGTGTTTATTCCTCATAAAATATTTCTAAAAACTGTGTTGCTGGTCACCTTTCATGTAAGACTATGCATAGTATCTCCCATTATTACATTCCTTTCTTCAGTTTTGAGAATAACTGCTTTATGTTTGCTCGGTACTGTGAAGGACTAGGAGAGACAAAAACATTGTCTATCTGAGTCATATGGATGAGTTCTCCTGTTTTTCATGTAATTCTATTTGTTAAAAAAATCCAATAATTTATTTTTTCCGAAAAAGTACTTTTAATATTGAACACCGCGCTTTTATGCCCGGCCAAACTATATGCAAAGCATCTATGCTCTTAAATCATCAAAGTGACTTTTCATTAGTAAAGTTTGGTGATACATGTTTTGGGTTCAACCTATCTTTGAGACTGCATCTCCCCCTACGAACCGGCACAGGCCTTAAGATCTGCTGGGGAGGCCCTTCTTTTGGTCCCACCACCGTCTCATGCCCTGTTGGTGGGGATGAGAGAGAGATCCTTCTCGGTGGTGGCTCCCTGGCTCTGGAATACCCTCCCTAAAGAAATTAGATTAACTGCCCTCTCTTCAGACCTTCTGGGTGAGTCTAAAAACATGGCTCTTCAGACAGACCTTTGATCGTGAATTATCCATGGCCAATGTGATGAATCATTGATAATACTGGCCCGCACTTTGATTGATTGTTATGATAGCCAGCTTACCTGCAGGTTCTACTGCGTTTTAGGAATTTCATAATTTTCAAATTTTTACAATTTTATTAATGACATTTGTATGTGCTGTCGTACTTATGTCATTGTATTTATATTGTTGTCTGCATGTTGCACTTGGAGTGCTTCTGTGAGCCGCCCTGAGTCCTTTTGGGGAGAGGGTGGTGGGGTACAAATAAAGATTATTATTATTATCATTACTTTTTTAATATCTGAAAATTTTCCCTTTCCCTATAAAACAAACACAAACACGTTCCCCATGGCTCCAAAATGTCTAGAAATGTTTCTGGTTAGCTGTGCTTTGCTCCTTCTGTGCCAGGGATCGGCATAGCAGTGCAGATTTTTCATACAATGTTGTTCCCAGAATGTAGTAATTATCGATGTCATTTGCTTCTCTGGGTTGAGATGTAGAATGAGAGAAATGGTGCATTAAAGTTGCCTACATTGTAAGGCTTTTGTATTATGTATAATTATTATGGCTTCCTCCATAGGAAATGTAGGGTTTGTAGGTTATTGGACATGTAGGGAGTTGTCTGAAAAGAGAGGACAGAATGGGTTTAATGCTGCTTTGCGGAACACGAAGAGTCGTATAGAGCTTTGGAGCAGAGTTTTCAGTGCTTTACAGCAAAGCCTAGCACACACTCTATGAAGGAGGACAGAGTTCATAGCTTTGCATTTTTAATATTTATCATTTCAAGCACATCTTAAGAGGAAAGACAGGGTAAATGACCACACATTTTACATATTTCAGTAATTCATGTTTAAAAAGATCTTCTCTTTTCTATGTGTAGCAGAAAATATCAGGTGCAGGAGCACAGAAATTTAGGAAAACAAACAAAAACTTAAATAAAAAAGGATTGACTTACCTTTAGTAGCAAAGGAAGGTCTGCAGGTGGATCTGTTGAATGTCAAAGTAGACGGATGCTTAATGGGATGTCTTCCCTATCCCACACTCAGAAACTCTGCTGCTACGCCTTGATCTGGTGATTCAGAAACGCAGGAAGCTTCACAATGAAAAATAAAATTCCATTTGTTTCTTTTATAGGCTAGAGGCAGACATGGTAATGTCCACCCATCAAGGAAGTGGATTTCCCACACCAGGAGGAAACAATTTTTTGATAAACACCAGTTTTTCTCCCCTAGTAATGGGAGGGCTATACCCTCATCCACACCCACTCCACCTACATGCCTTATATAGCAAGAAAGAAAGTGCAGTGTCCCATGAAAAAAAAGGACAACAATACTGCTGCCTGTTTTTTTTCCTGCAAGGCACAATACCAATTCAACTTGAAGAAATATTTGTAGCATTAAGCTGTGATTGTAATCCTTCGTATTCCTGGTCCTTAAGTTTATTTATTTATTTATTTATTGCATATTCTGATCCTGAATCGGTGTCTGTCAGCAGTAATAGACTGGATGAGGGCCAACAAGCTGAAGCTAAAGAAAGAATATTCCATTACTCATGTTTCCTGAATTTTTGGGGAGAATAGGCTTCATAGAATCATGGAATCATAGAGTTGGAAGATACCTCATGGGCCATCCAGTCCAACCCCCTGCCAAGAAGCAGGAATATTGCATTCAAAGCACCCACGATAGATGGCCATCCAGCCTCTGTTCAAAAGCTTCCAAAGAAGGAGCCTCCACCACACTCCAGGGCAGAGAGTTCCACTGCTGAACAGCTCTCACAGTCAGGAAGTTCTTCCTCATGTTCAGATGGACTCTCCTTTCCTGTAGTTTGAAGCCATTGTTCCACATCCTAGTCTCTAGGGAAGCAGAAAACAAGCTTGCTCTCTCCTCCCTGTGACTTCCTCCCACATATTTATACATGACTATCATATCTCTTCTCAGTCTTCTCTTCTTCAGGCTAAACATGCCCAGCTCTTTAAACTGCTCCTCATAGGGCTTGTTCTCCAGACCCTTGATTATTTTAGTCGCTCTCCTCTGGACACATTCCAGCTTGTCAATATCTCTCTTTAATTGTGGTGCCCAGAATTGGACACTATATTACAGGTGTGGCCTAACCAAAGCGGAATAGAGGGGTAGCATTACTTGCTTAGATCTAGACACTACGCTCCTATTGATGCAGGCCAAAATCCCATTGGCTTTTTTTGCTGCCACATCACATTGTTGGCTCATGTTTAACTTGTCCACGAGGACTCCAAGATTTTTTTCACACGTACTGCTCTCGAGCCAGGCATCGTCCCCCATTCTGTATCTTTGCATTTCAATTTTTCTGCCTAAGTGGAGGATCTTGCATTTGTCCCTGTTGAACTTCATTTTGTTAGTTTTGGCTCATCTCTCAAATCTGAAGATCATTTTGAATTCTGCTCCTGTCTACTGGAGTATTGGTTATTAGGCCTGGGTAACAACGGAAAAATTTGTTTCTAAAATCGATTTGTATTTGGGGGGTTTTTTTGTTTCGATATTTAAAATAATTACAAAATTTTCCTTTTAAAAAGTTCGATATTTACGAAATTTCGTAAATGGTAAAAATTTAACGAATCGATTTCCGAAACAATAACGAATCGATTCATTAATGGCGGACGCGACCGCGAAATACGCTAAAAAACCTTCTGAAGCTTCCCTCTCCCTCTGTTGTTGACTGTTGGTGTGATATTATAATTTTTTTTCACTAATTAAACCATAAAACTGGCCCAGACATGCGGAAATAATAACGAAACGACCTCAAAACAATAACGAAACGAATACAATATCGAAATACGAAGCATTTACAAAACGTTTTTGAAAATTCGTTTTTTTTTAATAATTGCTCCAGAATGGTTCGTTATCGTTTTGTAATTGAAAAAATTAACGAATTATTAACGAATTACGAATTAACGAAACGAAACCGCCCAGCCCTATTGGTTATCCCTCCCAATTTGGTGCAAATTTGATGATCATGCCTTCTAACCCTTCGTCTAAGTCATTAATAAAGATGTTGAACAGGATCGGGCCCAGGACGGAACCCTGTGGCACTCTGCTTGTCACTTCTTTCCAAGATGAAGAGGAAGCATTGGTGAGCACCCTCTGGGTTCGTCCATTTAACCCATTACAGATCCACCTAACCGTAGTTTTGCCTAGCCCACATTGGACTAGTTTGTTTGCCAGAAGGTCGGGGAACCTTGTCAAAGGCTTTACTGAAATCCAGGTATGCTATATCCACGGCATTCCCTGCATCTACCCAGCTTGTAACTCTATCGAAAAAAGAGATCAGATTAGTCTGGCATTTTTGAAAATTAATTTATACACTTTAGCATATGGAGAGGAGGAGGACTAAGATACTATAATATGGGTGAACCCATTTGCACTATATTGTGGCTATGAAATATTTTTTAGTAATCACCTGTTGTTAGCCATTTCAAATGCAATTCATTTCTAACTGGTTTTAATAATATATGTTTACTGTTCACTAATGTCTTCATTTATTGTCTAAATTGGATTATTGCTACTTAGTCCCCATTTCAATCTCTATTTTATTTTTCATTACAAGCTTATTGTTATTATTATGCAATATTTTGTATTATTTCTGATGTTGTTTGCACTTTGTAAGGTATTGAATATTTGCTTATTTCTGTGTGTAAACCGCCCTGAGTCCCCTTTGGGAGAGAGGGCAGTCTAGAAATAAAGATTTCTGATTATTATTATTATTATTATTATTATTATTATTATTATTATCATGCAGGGTCTTTAATTGGAGATCAAGCATTTATTCTTTTGCCCTCCAGATCTTTTCAGTTTCAGCACCCATGTGCCCCCTTCTCCAGCTAGAGAGGCTAATGGCCAGGGAGTCTAGAACCTGGAGTCCTAAACATCTGGAGGACCAAAGTTTGGAATCTACTACTTGAGAGCACTCAGCTAGAGCTCCACCACAGCTACCTAAAATACCTTGTTTCTGTGGTGTAGATCTTTGGGAACTAAACATTAAACTTCCTGTAGGTTTTTTTTGTTTGTTTGTTTTTTGCTGGGAATGCAGCAGAGAACAAACTCAAATGAAGCTCTCACTTTGAACAGATGTTATTAGGCATGCCGTGTTGTTTGCAACTCTACCTTTTGTTGGCAGAGCCAAGTTGTCATGTTTACTATGTTGCTATCAATACTTCTTGTTAGCAGATCACTTACGGCAAACACTTGATTTAAGAGAAATTGAAACTTAACTCAGATGGCTGAAGTTTCATTTTCTTTTAAATCAGTTTCACCAACCTTAGGAGGTGGGAGGTGAGGAAAACTGGTCTGTTTCCAAATTCCTATGCAATGATGAAGCAGAAAAATAGTTTGCCAGGAAAAATAGTTTGCCATGCTTCTAGAACATGGCCATATAGCCTGAAAAACCTACAACCCAGTGATTCCAGCCATGAAAGCCTTCGACAGTAGTTTGCCTGGACCCTGGTATACTTCTCCAGACTTCTCAGAGTCTTACCTCTGGGTATCAGCAATTTCCATGAAATCTTGCTGTTTGGTGCCTTTATTTTGTTAATCTTTTTGTGTTTTCCTATCCTCAGCCTGAGCATTAAAATTTGAAGAAAACTTGTCCTTTGTATTGTCAAAGGCTTTCATGGCCGGAATCAATGGGTTGTTGTAGGTTTTTTGGGCTATATGGCCATGTTCTAGAGGCATTTTCTCCTGACATTTCGCCTGCATCTATGGCAAATATCCTCAGAGGTTGTGAGGTCTTGTCCTTTGTTTCAGACATTATGATTAGTCTAATAAAGCCCCCAGTGGTGCAGCAGGATAAACTGCTGAGCTGCTGAACTCTCTGACTGAAAGGTTGCTGGTTCGAATCTGGCGAGCCAAGCGAGCTCCTTCTGTTAACCCCAGCTTCTGCCAACCTAGCAGTTCAAAAACATGCAAATTTGAGTAGATTTATTGGTATCACTCCTGTGGGAATGTAACGGCGCTCCATGCAGACATACCGGCCGCATGACCTTGGAGATGTCTAGTGAGAACGCTGGCTCTTTGACTTAGAAATGGAGATGAGAACCACCTCCCAGAGTTGGACACGACTAGACTTAATGTCAAGGGAAAACCTTTACCTTTTTAAACAACCCTTTAGAAACCTGCATGCTTTATCTATGGTAAGAAGCAACACTCCTAAAAACATGCTTCTATATATAGTTTAATTTGATTCATATAAATTGATCTGTACTGCTAATGGACATAAACATATCTGGTGAAATTTTTGCAATCCCCTGCATCTTGTTTTCAGTGTTGAACTGGGCAAGGGACACAGATATATCGGGACAAATGAATGGACTTGCCTGCAGCCACCCTGCCCCATATTGCTGAAAACGATGAAGAGTTCTGGAGAATCCAAAGGCTCACACAGTTCTGTGCTATTATAGCTTGTTTTAAAAACAGCATTGCAGTTGCAGGTGTTGCATCTATATATCTTTTTCTGCACCCTTTCCTCCAGTTTCCTTTTCTTCATCAGGATCTGACACAACTTTTGTACCATGCTTTGTATTTGTTTTAAATTTACACAATATAAAAATGTAAGGTATACTAAGTATTCAAAATAAGGGGGGTTAAAAGAAAATTACAAAAAGAAAGAGAAGAGAAAATATTAAAACATATACAGTAATGTATAAATAAATCAAAATATATTTGAAACTAATGTCATCTAACACAAAAATGAATACACGGTATGTAAACACTAAACTACTGACATAGTTAGGTTCTCATAAACCTTCTTCTCAAAGCGTGATACATTGTCAAAAATGAAGATGTTCCTTATAGTTCAAGTGTTCCTTACAGCTAATGCTGACTGGCACAACCTGGGGATCTCAATCGGACACAGTGAAGACATCTGCCCTTGCATTTTGCTATTCTGCTGCTGAGTACACGTGTCCAGTGTGGAACACATCTCACCACACTAAAACTGTGGATGTGGCTCTTAATGAGACATGCCACATTATCACAGGATGCCTACGCCCTACACCACTGGAGAAATTATACTGTTTAGCTAGTATTGCACCACCTGACATCCACCGGGAAGTAGTAGCCAATAATGAAAAGACAAAAGCACTGACATCTCCGGCCCATGCCTTGCTCAGATATCAGCCAGCATGCCAATGCCTCAGTTCAAGAAATAGTTCTCTAAGATCTACACAGATACTCACGGGAATACCTCAGCAAGTAAGAGTTCAAAAGTGGCAGGGTAAACCTGGAACCTCAAACTGGCTGATACTGAATGAGAGAATGAGAGAACATCCCCCTTCCCCCCCCCCCCCCCCCCCCCCCCCCCGGGCACACAGAAGACTGGGTGTCTTGGAAGGCACTGCACCACGAGATGCAGAGGCAACCTTAAGAAATGAGGCCACAAAGTGGAGTCCACGACATGCGAGTGCGGAGAAGTACAAACCACAGACCACCTATTACAATGCAGTCTGAGCCCTGCCACATGCACAATGGAGGACCTTATAGCAACACCAGAGGCTCTCCAAGTGGCCAGCTACTGGTCAAAGGACATTTAGTATAATGCCAAGTTTTTAAAACTTTGTGTTTTTTAAATACATTGCAACTGTACCCTTGGTTCGCTCCTGATACAATAAATAAATAATCTTGTAGTTCCATTTGTATAGGAAAAAACCCAATTCAAACAAGTACATTCTATTTGTAATTATTTTCTGAAAGCAACACACTTTTACTGTATCAGGCTCAGCACTTCTATGCCAAACCCTCCTCTGCCCCATCATCATCTTCTCCACTCACTCTTTCTCTTCTTCTGCTCATGAGATAAACTTCGGGGCTCCATTGCTTGGCATCCCAACACAAGTGTCAGCCTAAATTTAAGGTGGTAGAGGGGAGCCAAAGGAGTCTGCAGGGGAGAAGATGCATCAGCGGGGAATGGCAGAGGATTGTGATGGTATTATGTGCAATGGAATATGGAAAAGTTTCAAATCTGGGCATTGCTTCAATGGGAAGGTAGGGAAGGGACTTGTGTTCTTGGAAAGACTGCAGTAGAGAGCTGTACAGCAGACAGATTGGGATGAGAAGGTAGATCTAATTAAACATTCACTCCAAAATAACTGTAATCTGAAAATATGGTGGGCCAAGTGTACTCTGAAAGAGCAGAAGTGATGATAGAATCGGTTTAATTCTGTATTGGAGAGGGAAATAGGAGTACAGACATTCAGGAAAGCAAGTGGAGAAAACTTAAATCAAGAGAATGACTTACCTTTCGGAACCAACGAAGGTCTGCTTATGAACAGTGGACCTGTTTCATTTCAAGGTGGATGGGCACTTGATGGTGGTGGATGGGCTTTCCTTTCCTACAATCATAAACTCTTTTCTGCTATATCTTGATCTTCTGATTCAGAAGCGAGCAGAAAGTCTCACAATGAAAATGAAAGTCCGCTTGATGGTTTGCTTTTGTAGGCTGCAGACCAACATTGGTATTGGCCACCCATCAAGGAAGTGAAGTGAGGGAATTTCCAACACGGCTCAATCATATCAGGAGGAAAGGTTGAGCACTAGTCCCCCCCCCTCTCCCCACCAAACTGTTGGAGGGGCTATACCCTCATCTATCCTCCACTCCATTGTAGCTACACCCATAAGTACAAGGAAATTGTCTCTTGGATAACAGAAAAGAAAGTTTAATACTCACAAATAAATAATAATACACTTTATTTATATTTCACCCTTCTCCCTTAGGGGACTCAAAGTGGATTACAGCATTTACAACAGACATAGGAAAACATTCTTAGAGTCACATACAAGGAGACACTCAAACAAAGGATAAGGCAAGACCTCTCCTTTATCATTTCCAGCTTCTGGAGGCAGAGCTCAGCTCTGGCTCTGGGGGAGGTCTGCATTGTTACCTCCTGGTTGTGTAGCCAGCAAGACTGCTTGGAGCATCTTTTGCCTTTGCATGTTTTTGAACTGCTAGGTTGACAGGAGCTAGGGCTAACAGTGGGACCTCACTTCATCCTGCGGATTTGAACTGCCGACCTTTAGCACCTAGTCTTGAGAAAGATTGTGAAACGTTGAAAATCTGATTTGTAATTGTGGTTGCTCCCTGGGGGGATCCTTTGTTGGGAGGTGTTATCTGGCCCTGATTGATTCTTGTCTGGAATTCCCATTTTTTTGAGTTGCTCTTTATTTAACTGCCCAGGCTTTGAAACTATAAGGCCATTCAATAAATAATTAAATAATTGTTTTATATGCTTGTGGTTTTATCTTTTATTGTATCGTGTGTTTGTTTTATGCATTGTTCC